TCTGCAGACCATGAAGGAGAACTGAGGAGGAACTCTTCAGGTATTTGACATGAAGACTGTGATCCTTTACTTCATACTGAACATGTGGTCCTTTCAGTTCTTCTTTCCATCATCTCACCGAGTCATGAAGTTAGTGCAGAGACCTGAAACAGACCATGTGACCTGAAACAGACCATGTGACCTGAAACAGACCATGTGACCTGAAACAGACCATGTGACCTGAAACAGACCATGTGACCTGAAACAGACCCATGTGACCTGAAACAGACCCATGTGACCTGAAACAGACCATGTGACCTGAAACAGACCATGTGACCTGACTGATTCAGTTCACTGATCCCTGAAATGAACTAAATAAGATTTGTTTACAGTCAGAAGCAGCTTCATGATTGGCTGCTGTTTGTGTCATGTGACAGGAACTAACTGGTCAAAATGTCTCATCTTTTAAACGCTGGTGTGACATGTCCCCTTTAATCAGTGGGATTTAAAGGGGGGATCAAAGGCATTCAGGTTTATTACATWACTTCTATTTGACTACATAAATGTTCATCAGTGACAATTTATTCATTTTGTTTCTATTAAAATACCTTATTTCAGGATTTATTTATATATATTTTTACATTGTATTTATTTATATTGTAATTTTATTTTATGACACTTTTATTTGTGAAATATTTAATAAAACTTATTTCTTTATTTGGATGAAATGGTTAAATAACAGTAAATTAAATAAAATAAAATAACATTTTCTGTTTATAAACCCCGCCCACCAGGCTCACCATCTCATCAGCCGGTTGGTAAATGAGGCGGAGACTGCGGTTGTTGACACGTGGTGTTAATCTTTAACAGAGTGAACCCGTTCCTCTGTCTGTGGAACAGACTCAGCAGAACCCTCTGTGGACCGGACCGGACCGGACCGGAAGGAGAAATGTCGGCGCTGAGAGCAGCTAAAACGGCTCTGAGGACGGAGGTGAAACGGAGGGTGGCAGCGCTGGAGCCGGAGGAGAAGCGGAGACAGTCCCAGCTGCTGGCACAGAAGGTGAGGACAGGTCCACCTGGTTCTGACCCGGTTCTGACCCAGCGTTCGTCTCGTCTGGTTTTATGAAACTCAGGGTTC